TTTCAGTGAAGGTGGTCTTGAACCTGAGGGTAACAGGAGCACTGTCATGTGTGGGCAGTGAAATGATCCATATCCTTAGCCTTGACGGAGCATGGGCTTGGGCTCACTGATGTCATCCCTGGAGGTGTTCAAAAGACAGGTTGATGTAGTGCTGGGAGGTATGGTTTAGTGATGATGCTCCTTGTTTGTTGTGTGGGTGTCTATTTTTGTCAGTTAGGTTGACGGTTGGACAAGATGATCTTTAAGGTCCCTTCCAACCTAGAAGATTCTGTGATTCTGTGATTCTATGTCCAGTGACTTTTTTTCAAGCAATTTTCAGTGGGGCTTGGGCCAGACCCCATCATAGCCGAAACGGAGCTGAACCTGCCAGGAGCAAGCTATGAGGGCACTGGGGATGGCCGGGAGGATGAGCAGAGCAGAAGAGCAAAGCAAAGCACCATCTCTTTTCTTTATTATCCCACTGAAAGGCATTTTAGGTCTTTTTGCAGCGCACCACAGGGCTGTTTCTCTAGTTGATTCTTAGGTGGAGCGAGGCCTGGCTGGGCAGGTAGGAGCTACCAGCCGGCGCAGATTTCCATTTCCCTGCCGGCAGCAGGAGCTGAGCAGAGCCTTTATCTGCACAGGAAGGTTGAGCCGGCGCCTCTGAGGTCTCCGCCTTGAGCTGGTCGGAACACAGATACCAAAAAAAAAAAAAACATCGCTTAAATAGTCAGTCGGGGCCTCCCTTCGCCTTCAGATAACTCCCGCGCTGATGCACGCTGATGAGAGAGAGTTAATGAGGCATTAGAGGCGGCGGGGAGAGATAGGGACGAGCAGGAAAGCACACCTGCAGGCACCCTTTCAAGGCTCTCTGGTTGGGGTGGCTTTATCAGGAGGACCAGGGGTTGCTCGCAGCTGGGCCGGCAGGAACCGGGAGACGCCGAGGTGGCCTCTCTGGTTAGTGTAGAAACCTGGTCGGGGAGAGCTTCCTGAAACTTCTCTTTCTTCTCCCCCATTTCTGCAAAGGGCTTCTGGGGCAGATGTGTGAGCAGAAATTCTTTGCTGTGAGGGTGGTGAGACACTGGAACAGGTTGCCCAGAGAAGCTGTGGCTGCCTCATCCCTGGAGGGGTTCAAGGCCAGGCTGGATGGGGCTTGGAGCAACCTGGTCTGGTGGGAGGTGTCCCTGCCCAGGGCAGGGGGTTGGAACTGGGTGATCTTTAAGGGCCCTTCCAACCCAAACCATTCTGTGATTCTGTCTCGGGGGCAGCAGCCCGGAGTGGTAATTTAAATTGAGTAGTAAAAGTTGTTTCCCCATGAAATGAAATTTCCTGGGGTGGCAGTCGAGCGAGTCTGTAGACGTGGAGCTGTGCAGGCTGAAAAGCAGAGACTCATTTAAAGAAAAAAAAATCATAAAATTAAAAAAATCAGCAATTGTTCTGATACTCGAATGGATCGGAAAAAATGTCTTGTATCAAGAGGGATTGTAAAAAAAAACACCAACCACCTGATCACAAATACTGTATGGAAAAATAATAGCAGATTTACAGCCCTTAACAATGAGGTGTGTAACCACTGCCAGCTTGTAAACACGGCTGAAGGCAGAATTTGGACCTTGATGGTCTGGCTTCATTTCCTTACCCGTGTCCGTCACTGAGAGCAAAAAGTCACAGTCACGTTGAGGCTGGTACCGGGGTCTTCAGTAAAAAGTGCTGAGACATCAAAGGTCAAAGAAAAGAGGCAAACGAAGGGAGCAAGTGCATTTGGTCAGGAAGCACAGCTTCTGTTTGAATGAAGACATCATCTTGGTGACTGGAAGATGTGGCCAGTGCCTTTTCTTGCCCACCCGGGCAAAATGCCACCATTACTCCTGAGCAACATCTGGGCACTATTGACTGAATCCACCCCTGCTAGAGAACAAGGAGGCAAGCAAGATGTGGACCAGCGCCTCAAAGTCATTCTTTCCTGAATTGAAATATTTTCAACATGCTCTTTTCCATTTTGGGGATTTAAACAAACAAACAAACAAAATGATTTCTAGGAGTGAAGGTTTTTTCTGTCCTGCACCATCACCCCTGTCTCAAGTCAGGGCTGAGGCAGAACTACAATTTCTCGTGCAGAAGTGAGAGGAGGTGATGATTATGATGCTCCAATCACAGCCCGACAGAAACACCCTTTGCTTACGTGCCTGCCTGTAGGGGCTTGAGGGAGGGCTGGTGGCCATTAAGGATCAAGATTGTAAATACCAAGAAAAAAAAACCACCTTTTCTTCTGGCTTTTTTGAAGGATCACTCTGCGCTAGAGAATGTTCAATGCTGCGCTCTGTGCTTTACCCTCAGCAGACTTGTTATTTTGGCTTCTAACTACGAAGTCTGGCTCTTTTATTAAAATTATAATGTTTTTTTTTTTCCCAAAGCAGCCAAGCTCTGGCACTTTTTCAGTTTAGGCTTAGCTGTCACGTAGTTCAGACCTGTGGGAGTCGAACCACTGGGACTCTGCGTAGAGAGCTGGAGAATTACAGGGTCTCACTGGGAAACACCTCACACTCCGGTATTTTCCTTTATTTTCGCCCTGGCTCCTTTGCCTCTTCATTTTTAATTAGTGGCACATGCTGAAATGATAATTTAAATTCTTTTCAGAAATCAAAAGAATTCCCACTGACAACATTATTAAGTTATAATTACAGTGAAGAAAAAGGTTAATAGGAATTTGAGCCAAATATCTACTCTCCATTAAATGAGAACTTGACTGAACCTGTTCTCCCTTGATTTTGGTAGGTTACTCTGGGCTTAAACGGGTCTGGGGTGGCTATACACCTGTGCAAAGGGCCACTGAGAGGACAAACAGCCACGGCCAAGACCGTTTACGTGGCCCTGTCTTGGGATAGGTCTTGCCTGACCCATGCCCAAGGTGGAATTTGACAGCCAGGTGGGACTTCTCCTGGACTTCTGAAAGAAAGATGTGGGTTTCAGAGAATGGAGTGTGAGAAAGACGTGTGGGAGGTGGCACTTGGTGGCAGAGGAAACTTAGCGGGTATCGGGTGGGGGAAAAATAATCAGGTTCCTGGGCTACAGCATTCAAACAAAGCCTCTTCCTTCGCTCACGCTGAGCGCCACATGCATGCAGAAACATATGCAAATCAGCCTTAATCTACCCAGTGTTTTGCATTTTCAATGAAATC